GTGTGTGTGTGTGTGTGTGTGTATGCTAATTTAATTTTTTTGGTTTCCTTCTTTTTCTCTTTTGTCAGTACCAGAGTTTGAACTCAGGGCCTCATGCTTGCTCTGCTTGCTCCAACTGAGGCTCATGCTCTCCCACTTGAACCATACCTCCAGCCCTGCTTTATGTTGGTTCTTTCAGAGAACCAAGATTTTCCAGATCTGTTTCCGAGGTATATAAAATTACAGGCATGACCATCATCATTGTTTCTTGAATAGGGTTTTCTGTGTGTATGCCTTGGTTGGTCTGGACCGTGATTTACCCATTTACACTTTCCCTGTAGTTGGGATGAGATACACACCACTGTGTCCAACTATGGAGATGAGGTGGGGAAAGCAGTCTCACATCTCACGTCTGTACCCCGGCTGGCCATAAGCGCCATCCTCCTGATCACTACCTCCTGCGTACTTAGGATCACAGGTATGAGTCGCTATGCTTGGCCCACAAAAAATACTATCTTAAGAAACAAATCATTACAGCAGGATAAGTTAGTAGATGCTTGAATTTATCAAATAGTTATAGAAGAGAATAATCTGATATTGAATTTTCTCATAGTATTTTTCACTGTATAATCAAACTTATGCCAACAGCCTTGGTCTTAAATAGAAGTTCTTAAGTACATTTTTTTTTTCCTGAGGGGGTGAGGGAAGGACTTGTTTTAAGAGCAGAAAGAAAATGATGGACTCTGAAACCCTTAGGCCAAGAAGGCGATTTACTATGCTTTACTATGTATTTAAGACTAACCCTTGACACCAGCCTTTTTTGTACTATTTTGATGATTTATCTATTTTGGGAGCAAATGTTTTATTAGCACAAACCTTGAAGAAGTTTAGTGACAAACAGCAACTTTAAAGATGTCATACCAGAAACAAGAGCATTATCTGATCACTTTTCTTACCTTCTCTCTCAATTGGAAATAGAGAAGCAGCCCCAGACACTGGGCAGCCATGTGAGACAATAATTTATCTGGCTTTTGGAGCATGCAGATCTATTGGAAAACAAATACATTAAATCACCACTGGAAAGTGGTTTTTACAGCACTCATGTTAAATAGCTCCATCTTTGAAAGAAAATGGCTTACCATTTTAGAATCAATTTCGGTTGATTGTAAAAGCATTCGAATTATATCTCTGTATTTCTCCTTTGCACAGGTCTCCGTGTGGAGGGACACTGTCCTGGTTATTATCACTTTGATCACGGTTAACTGAAGGAGCATCACGTCCTGGGCGCCGCACACCTGAGCGTGGCTCTCCACACACAAAGGCACATTGGGAATGGCAGTCAGCTTGACAGAGGATGGCTCGTGAATGCCCTGCACACGTTCTGGGTTGGACCGTTCGAAGGAGGGGGATATAGAGCAAAGAGGATCTGAGAAAGCTGGGGTGAGATAAAAGGCATAATCCTGGACTGCCCCATCAAGTGGATCACCATGAAGCACCTTCTGGTATAACTGTCCTAGAACTTCATAGAATGCTTCCATTTTGATTTCCCCAGTGTAGCTGGTAAGAAGAGGGTTGACAACTGCAAGTTGTAAATACAGAGGGCTAAGAAGTACCATACATCTCTTGGATGTTTCCTCAGCAAAGCCTGAAAGAAGAAAAGCAACTTGAAAATTGTGACTGTAACACACACATTACAGGGGAAAGACAACTGTGGTTACTTCATCACTACATCTTAAGCTGAAAGCAATGTTGATCACTGAATTTTTTTGTTTGGTGGCACTGAGATTTGAATTCTGGACCTCATACTTCCTAGGCAGATGTTTCTTCCACCTGAGCCACATCTCTAGCCCTCTCTGCTTTAAGTTGCTTTTCCGGTAGTATCTCATTCTTTTACTGGCACCAGCCATGTGATTCTCCCACCTATGGCTCGAGTGTAGCAGGTTTAATAGACATGCACCACCACACTTAGCTTGCTTTTTGGTTTATGGGATTTTACTCAGGGTCTTGGGCTTGCTAGGAAGGTGTTCTACTTGAGCCATGCTCTCAGCCCTTTACTGTTTTAATTACTTTTCAGACAGAGTCTCAACCTTTGTGCTTGGTCCAGATTGGCCTGTGATCATTCTATTTATGTTTTCTATGTAGCTGGAATGATACATGTGCATCATCATGCCCAGTTTTTATTGACTGAGATTGGGGGTGTGTGTGTCTCTTGAACATTTTGTCCTGGCAGGTTTGAAACTGTGATATCCCTGAATCCTGAGTACCTAGGATTACAGACATGCTCAGATCTAGTATTTTTACTTTTGCAGATACCAGGGCGTGAACTTAGCCTTGTACTCATTCGACTTTTCTTGCTCCCAGATGATAATCTAATATTTGAGTCACGCCTCCAGCCCAGTTTTTTTGCTGGTTAATTGGGGAAAAAAAATCTCTTAGATTTTTTTTCTGCTAAGTTTGGTTTTGAACTACCATCCTCCAGATCTCTACCTCCCACGTAGCTACGACTGCAAGCAGGAGTCACTTGTTCCTGGCCAGTTTATTTTTTGACATACAGTCTAACTTTGTGGGGGGGGAGAGGGGATGGGCTGGCCTTGAAGTGTGATCTTTCTATCTCTGCTTCCCAAGTGGCTAGATTACAGGAACAGGCCATCATGCCCAGCCCCTTGATTGCTGAATTTCTCAAAGTGAAAACTGTAATAAGAGTATTGTTTTAAGACCATATGAGACAATATAGATTTACTTTCCATATGGATTCAAGAGCATATAGTTAGTTGCAGAAATGACAGCCAGTTTACACTAACATTTGTCAGCAGTTGCTAAGCAGGATGCTAAGTAACACTCCTGACCTCCACAGTGTGCCTGCACAGCTCTTCTCAACTCACTACTACACTTTGACTGCAAAGACTGTCTGTAGTCATTGTCAGATGTTCCCTGAGAGGCAAAACTGCCCCAGTTCAAAACCATTGGACTATCTCATGCCTGTAATCTTAGGTACTCAGGATACTGAAATGTGAAGATGAAAGGTAGAAGGCAACCCAAGCAGACAGTTCTATGAGACTCTTGTAGTCAGTTAACCAAGAAAGCTGGGCACCAAGGCATGGCTCAGTGGTAGAGCACTAGCTGTGATTAAAAAAAAAAAAAAAGCCAAGCAATAGCACAATGCCCTGTGTTCAAGTCCCAGCAATCACAAAACCAAGAAACAATACCCCCTACCTCCCCCAAAAAAACCATCCCTGGGCTAAGTCATATTCATTCTCTTTCTCCAATTTATACACAGAAGATAGACTGCTCTATGGTTAAGCTGATTAAGATCCAACTTAAAACTATATGGCAATAACAAGACTCAATGGCCATCATATGTCACTAAAATGAAACAAGAGGCCAAGATGTGAGGACCTAGGTTGGAAGCAAGCTCAGGCAGAAATGTCAGAGGCTCTTATCTCCAATTAACCAGCAAAAAGCTGGGAGTGGAGGCGTGATTCAAATGGTAGAGTGTCAACCTCTAGTGAAAATGCCAAGTTGAGAGCATAAGGCTCTAAGTTCAAGTCATACTACTGGTGCGCACAGGCACGCACGCGCGCGCGCACACACAAACACACACACACACAAAGTAGCTTAAAATGCTTCATTCCTATACAATCGAGTAGCCCCGCCCCTTTTTTGAATGACCTTGGTGGGAACCCAAGGTGTGGCGTATTGGAATCTTAATCTAAGACACCATTATCTCTTGCCTGGATTTGCAGTCTTCTAGCTCCCCAGGACAGTTTTCTCTATTGAGCAGCCCCCTCCCCTCCAACATAAATTAAGAGACGCAGTCCTTCAAGATCGGAAACCTGCCACACTCACGTTTAATTATGCCCCTCCCCCCTTACTATGTGGGCTTCAGCTCTGGTTCAGGAAGGGACTCAGGAGATTTTAGGGCTGAGACTCCAAGTCATACAGGACTCCCAAGTGCTAGCAATGGGGTGTCCAGGCTGGGAGCTTTCAGGATGTGCTTCAGTCCCCGAGGGCAGCAAAACGTATCCCAGCAGCAGAGGTGAAGCACTTTCGATTCACTCCACCTGCAAAAATTTCCCCCCAGGTCTCGGATTTGCTAGCTCTGTGTCATTCAAACTGCTGCTCAACTGTCCACTTTCTTAGAAGACCTAAAACAATCTCTCTCGTCAGAACCAAATTCGATTGCAATAACTTGCTTAAAAAAATAAAAACAAACCTTCGGATAACTAATCTTAGATCCTTTTGTGTGTATCTCCTCGATAAAAGCACACATGATCGCATTTATCTCGTTCTCCGTGTGGTGCGCGTCGGTTAGAGGCTAGCTCAATGAATAATCACAAGTCTGAATACGCCCATCTGGCATTTGCCCTCCCTGCTCTTTCATTCACAGGAAACCCAGAGGATCGCTGTCCTGCGAGGCAAGTCCTTCGCGAAGGACAGAGCTCCCGTCGGTCGTCCGAGAGCTACCTCCACCCCGCGGCCTCAGAGAGCCACACACTCACCAAGACGCCGCCATACGAATCCTTGAGGAGAAGCCAGGGTGGGCAGGGACCCCCTTCTGCTTCCTGGAAACTTCTGCCTCCCCACCTCCTCCGGAGTCTCCCGCCTCTCTCGCCGCCGAACTCAAACACCCGTCAGTCGGGAAGCTGGGTCGACACACTAGGCCTCGGCACTGCCATTCGCGCCCTCAGATGTCCGGTCCGGGCCACCGTAACTTCACTCAATCAGCTTGTCAGCTGATCCTTCCCAGACCCGCATGCGCAGAAAACCTATTCGCCAACCCTGCGTTTCTTAGCAACCGCTTCGAGTCTCTCGGCCGGAGGGGGCGGAGTCTCGGAAGTCACCGCGGGGGAGGAGGGGAAAGTGAGAGAGACCAATCAGAGACGAGTCCCCGCCCCTATCGACGCGCCTCCTCTCACTGTCGCGAATCCTCAGGCAGCTTTACGGCACACAGGAGGCGAAGGCTGCTGGGGTGAGGAGGAGAGAAGGAAGCCGCCGACCAACCAGGTCGTCCCCGCCCCCCCCCTCGCCCTCCCCACCCCGAACCTGGTTTACGGCTCTGGGCTCCAGCTCCAGTGCGGCTTCTGATTGGCTGCTGAAGACTTGGTCCCACCCCTGTGACCCCAAAGTGCTGAAGGGAGGGGGCGGGGGTGGCCCAGTGCAAAGTGCATCCCGAAAGCCCCCAGTGCGGACACCCCTCGCTGCTAGCATCTCAGGCCCGGTACGACGTGGGATCTCGCTGTCCCGAGACCTCCTGAGTCCCCCCCTCGGTAAGGTGGGAGCCTCCGGCCCGGAGCGCGGCAGCCCCCGGCTCCGAGTCCCCCACACCCCGAGTCGGCACTTCCTCCCTGCACCCCTGACCCTGGCTTGCCGGGGGGGCTGAGACCGGCACCCCTAGTCTACTGGAGTTGTCTGGATGCTCCCCGGGCTGGGGCACTGAGAAGAATCAGGAACAACCGTGTCCGGCCCTGCCCGTGGTGCTTCTTCAATGGAGAAGTTGGTGAATGTGGAGGGGGCTCAGAGGAGGAAGAGAAGCAGCAGCTGAGGGGACAGGTAAAGTCGGTTACCTTCCTCGGGAGGGGGTGGGGGTTAGGGACTGTCGTAGACGTGGTGGGGTTGAGGGAGGGGAAGCCCCACTGTTCATGTCTGCCAGTCCTTCACACTCTTTCAGCCTTTTTTCTATGCTTCCCCTTCCCCAGGTCTTTCTGGTCTTCCTTGGAACACTGTACCACTGACTGCTTTCCGACTCCCGGGTTTGAGCCGGCTGGAGGATTATTGCCAAGGGCGTCTTGCCCATCCACCCAAGAATCAGTGGGCAGAGCGCCTCTGACCAGCCTCCTCTATACAGGTAAAAGATACACCGTCCCCTCCCCCATTGTTTATTCCTGGCCCCTACTTCATTAAGCCATGCTTTTTTTTCCAGGTGGTTGCCTGGGAATGCACTTTTTGCTAGACCCTAGTTTCCTAGCAAAGCTGAAACAACACTGCCAAATGTCTTGGTTTTAGCAACTTAATAACTTTTGTACCCCCTACTAAGCTACATCCTTCCCCTCGTCCACCTCATCCTGTTTGGTGTGTTTCCCTGTTTCATTATCTTTTGGTACACTCTGCCATTTACTCTATCTGCTCTGAGGCTTTGAGACCTTTCTTACCACTCCCACCCCCCACTTCCTTATTCTCTTAGGAATTCTTCAATTCCATGTTAATTGCTTGTTAATTCCGAATGACTCTGCTTTTTAATTAAACTACAATTTACTGGGTTCCCCCCTCCCCATTCTTTTCTCTACCTCCATCAAGAAATCATTTGTTAACCTAACTTCCAGTGGTTTGGTAGAGGGAAGGTAAATTAATGGCTTCAAATTTGGAAGCTTCAGAAAACAAGTTTTGGTCCTAGAAAACGTGAATCTGTACCTTAAGTGTGTGAAAGCAGCATTATTAGCCCCTGAAGCCCTTAACTCTGGGATTTTTTTTTGAGTCTTGTTATAGATATGGATGGGCACTGAAACTAACAGAAATACTCAGGTGTTCTAGATGAATTTGTTTAAAAAATAAACCACATAGTGCTGTTAATCACCTGACAAGGTATTTTGAAACAAAGGGATGTTTTGATGTGTTTATCTGTGGTTCAGTGTTTGGCAGATGTCATATATAAAATTTCTCATTTTAAAACCTTTTCAGAGAATTTGCTACCTTGAAATTTAAGCGTCTAGTTCGTGTCTCATTTCTGCTGCCGATTTTGTTGGGGTTTCTGAAAATGCATTGAAAGTTAAGTTTAGGACATTAATCTCTGAAGGGATGTAAGAACACAAATTATGTAAGAGTTAATTCAAAAAGCAGCCAAGAGTCATTTTCCTACCAACGACAACTAGCAAGAGCATAGTTATTTAGTACAAAGACATACTTTAAAAACCTCGACTTACTGTGTTCCACCAGACTTTCTACCTTCCACAAATTCTAATTCTGAAGACATCTCTGAAGATATTATTAAGGAAATCAGACAGGTTAAATATTAATTTTTATGCATATTTCAGTTTTGTATGTGTCTCGGGACTGAGGCTTGAGCTCAGGACCCTTTGCTTTTTCTTGGTCTTTTCTGTTCAAGGCTAGTACTCTACCATTTGAGTCACAGCTCCACTTCCAAGTTTTCATATTCATGACACTTGAAACTAGATGGAAAGACAGTGTTTTCTGAATGGGATTTAGAATTAGTATCATCTAGGTGTGGTGGAACATGTCTGTAATCCCAGCCTTTGTAATTGTAGCATGCAGGAGGTGGAGTCTGGAAGTTCCAAAGGGGGAAGGATTGAGTTTGAGGCCAGCCTGGACTCTTGTCTCAGACAAAAAAGGAATTAGTATCTATCAGTGACAGTTCCATGATGAGATTTTAGGGCAGCTTTTGTCTATGCATAGGAACTAAGGGTAGTTAACAATTTTAGAAACTGAAGAAATATATAAGTGGAAGACGTAATTTTTTATTTAAATATGGAAGTCACTACCCAGGTGATATGTAAAGAAGACCTCAGAACTTTAAGAAAATGCTAAAATATGTGATGTATATTTTTAAAGTTCAAGCCTTTTCTATGAATTACTTCTTCCTGTTGTGAATTTAACTCTAGCATATTTTCTTAGGGTTCCCTAGGTGAGCACAGGAGGTATATTTTCATGTTGGTTGAGTATGTGAGGGTCTGTTACAATAGACTTTAAAAGGTAGATATTCCTCTGATTCGTAGGCAGTTCTCATTGTTTAAATAATAGTCCATGGATCTACTGGGCTCTATTACAAATAATAGTCCATGGATCTATTGGGCTCTAATAGTTTTTACTACTGGGCTCTATTATAAATAATAGTCCATTGGATCTATTGGGCTCTAATAGTTTTTACTACTGGGTTCTATTATAAATAATAGTCCATGGATCTATTGGGCTCTAATAGTTTTTACTAAGACCGAGATGGGTGTTGTTAGTCATGATTGAGAATGGCTGGCCTAGATGATGCCATACCAGTAAGATAGAGTATTTACCAATATGGCCAGTTAGGTAGTTACCACTTTTCAATCTAGCAGTCAACTTGGTGCCAATTCTGTGGCCATTGTATTTGATAATGACTATATATAATCACATCGGGAGAATTAGGGAAGCTATTCAGTGTAGTTTATATTCTAATGCCTGGCGCAGCTTCATTCTCAACCACATGCACTCATTCGGTGTAACACTCAGAAGACTTACTGGCTCCGATACGGGAGGCTGCTGAGATGGTATTGGCTGGCATAGGGAGTTAATAGGACATTGATCATGCCGCTCCATTTATGATACTTGTGATGTAGACTTTGAGTTGCGTCCAGAAGAGTGAATTCTAAAAATTCCTTTACACACATAAGTGGGTTTTCTGCTGGAGCTTTGGAGCCTTAGATGAGGTGGGTATGATGTAGCCTCATGGTATTACAGACCCTGTGTATAAACGCTCTGGGGTGTAGAACTATACTGAATAACATTGTGCTGTGTTTATTTGGGGTTGCTGGCTAGGTCCTGTAGTAGAGCCCCCCTCAACATGCCTGCTAGCCAGGTGCAGGTGCCTTTTGATTGGGCAGTGTAGTTTGTGCTTCTCTTTCCCTGTTGCTTTGAACCATTAGAATTTTTCCCCCTTGGAGCTAATGTCTTCTGCAGGTTGACCATTTGTGTTTTTTTCAGTTACTTCAGCTGTGTTTTTACAAAGAATTGTTTCTTCTTTTTTTTTTGAGTAACAAACTTACCTTACTTCCTGTGTGAAGACAGCACAATTCTGGTTTGCACCACTTAATTAAAACAAGTGGGGAGCTTTCGGTGAAACTAATATGCAAGAGCTAATAATGTCTAATTTTATGGAACAGGAAATGGAGATGTTTGTAAAGTTAGGACAAGGTCCTACTTGTTACAAGGATTTTTTTTTTTAACAACCTAATCAGTCAATTCTAGATGTTCTTTGGTCCTTGAAGCAAAAAGTTTGGAGTTTCCCCATTTGGAGTGCATTGCTTCTGTAAGAAAAGCAGGTAGGAATCATCTTAGTTTCTCAATTTGGAGTTTCAAATATAATATAGAAGCTTGAGAGCCTCCTGTACTTTTGACCACATGTAGAGTGGGAAAGATGAAATTATCCAAATATCTATCAACATTGTAAATGTTGGGTTAAGAAAGACTCTTAAGAAAAGTTCCTGTGGGAAAGGAATGGTTACTATAGAAAATTTAAGAGTCTTCTCATCCCTTGGGTACTGTTGCTGCTTTTCTTTGTGATTGAAACCTGTGGAATAGAATTTTGAAACATTGTATCTTAAAGGGTATGAGACGTCCCCCCCATCTACCACTTATCATGAACTTAAGACTAAATTGCATCCTTTGTTATTGTTTTGTGCTTTCAGAGGTGACTCTCAAGAGCCATCAGAATTTGAATTCCCAGGGGGAAGTAGCCATTTATGGATTCTCTGTGGACTTCCTTGAACTTTTATTTTGGTAGTATTGGGGGGGGAGGGGGGCTTGAACTAAGAGCCTTATGCTTGATATGGAGGGGTGCTCTGCTAGTTGAGCCATGCCCCTTTTTACTTTGTGGGAGAGAAAATGAAAGCTTAAACTTAGGGCCTCAAGCTCTTGCTTGGCTTTTTTGCTCCTAGCTGATGTTCTATCGCCTGAGCCACACTTCCACTTCCAATTTTTGCTAGTTAATTGGAGATCATGGGAATCTGTAGGGTTTGCCTGCTGGGGCTGGCTTTGAACTATAATTCTCAGATCTCAGCCTTCTAAGTACTTAGGATTATAGATGTAAGCCAGTGGCACCCAGTGTATTTGTTGTTTTAATAGTCTCACATTTATGCCCAGGCTGGCCTAGACCAACATTATTCTATTCACACTTCCTGCAGTAGCTGGGATGGCAGGTGTATGTGTATGTGGACTCCTTGCTGGTTCCTAATAAGCACCTTTATCACTGGACACTACATTTCTTCTAAAGTTTCATCATTTTTTCTTTTCTTTTTTACATATTCCTACATGAGAAACTGCTCTGTTAGGTGCAGCTCTCATAAAGCACCAAGAGAAAAATAATTACTGCTTTGATTCTTGGGACTATTTAGTAATAACTTGCTCTTTCATAATTGAAAGAGACACAGCTGACCGGTCATGATCCTGTGTGCGTCATTTTTCCCTGTAGAGATAGATGTACCAGATACGTGCAAGGAGTAGCTTTCTCAAAAATTTGAATCTACGGTTCCTTAAACTGCTTGGTATCGCCAGAAAAATAAAGGATCCTAAAATGTGCAGGATTAAAAATAAAACCAAAAAGCAATAACAACTTGTTTGAAGTATCCTAATTGCCTGTGAAAATAACCAAGGCCAAGACCTCCCATGATGTGCCCACACAAGGCAGTGTTCTGTGGACACTGATTTGTGTGTTTGAATCCGATGATACAGAAGTATCCCAAGGTGCTGTCCTTCATGTATCTTTCAGTGTGTGTGTGTGGGGGGGGAAATAACAGCTTTCACATGATCTTCTGATAATTTTAATAGCTACAACTTTGTACTTTCCTTGGCTCGACCCAGTCCTCCCTTCCTCTGTGGAAGTAGAGGTAGATATATTTGGAAGCCAACAGATCTGGGGCGAGGTGGGGGTGGGGTCCTCACAGGCTTGAAGCTACATTTCCATGTCTGGGAGGTAGGGATGTGGTGGACACACAGGGAAAGGGGTCTGGCACTGCTCATTCTTGGCAGGTACAGGACACTCCAGTGACCATCAGATCGTCGGGGGGGGGGGGGGGGGGAGTGCTAGGCTGCTCATTGAAACTCCTGATTGGCATTTTAGAGATTTTAGCAGATCTAGAGCACAGAATTCCAGAGGTTGACAGCACTGTACCTTCATCTCCACTATTGAGGGGACTATATACAATTCTTTCAGTATTCTGAATAGAAGTCTTACTCTTTTCCCCCTCTTCCTATTTACACAGTTATATCAGTACAGATTCCATGTTTACTTTAAGGGTTCTAGTCCAATTCTGTTTGAAGAATTTCCTTGCTCTGATGATTCCATCTTGAACCACAACCACTGAGCCTCCTCTCCATTAGCCTTTTGTCACTTTGACAGAGCTCATTCATTTGTTGTGTTAATGCTTTTTTTTTTCCTTTGAGGATATCCTTTGCCTCTGGTACAGGTAAGAGAGATGCTTCAGCCACTTCCCTTTCTTAAGAATTCTACATTCTGTACACTTTGGCCCACAAGAACTGTTCTGATTATCTTGACTTCAAGTAAACATTCTGCCTTCCTTAGAGAAGTTTGACAAGAAAAAGAAGATGGGAGACGCAAAGGAAGACTTGGACCATACGAATTTGGACTGGTTAAATTCTAGACCTGCAGCACCTACAGCTCTACCTCAGTTACTAGGTTGGCAGGCAGCTTCCCTTTGCTCATCTGAGGGTGTAAATGACAGGGCTCAGCACCCTCAGCCTCATGGGAAAAGGCCGTCATTCTCCCAGTAGTAAATACCTGGAATGGTGATTGTGGTAGATGGATGGAAATTGCCTTTCACCTGCCTAGCTATAGTGCTCCATACTCTGGTTTGTCATTTCTGCTCAAGGCTGCTAGCACTACACCACTTGAGCCATACCTTCACTTCCAGATTCTTGTTGCTTAGAGATAAGAGTGTCACGGACTTTAATGCCCAAGCTGGCTTCTAATCATGATCCTTAACATCTCCTAGCCTCCTGAGTAGCTAGAATTACAGGTGTGAGCCACTGGAGCTTGACCAAGTACAGGGTTTAGGGAAAAAAAATTTTTTCACAATTCCAGGAGAAGCTGGCAAAAATCATGTTAGCTAATGATTTACCCAGTTTGTTGTGAGCAAAATGTAAACTTCCTGACTTGATACATTTGAGGCACAGGATGAATCCCAGGTTAAAGCCAGTCTCCTTTTACCATCTTACAGCGTTTTGGCCCTGGGCACCTGTTGTACTGAATGCAATGGGTTCCTTTTTAGTCTTTTTCCAGAAGATCCTGTAAGTAATGTTACAAGTTAAAAAGCAATTCAAAGTCTGACGATAATTTCTCTGTAAAGGAAAAATAATCTGTGCCTGCATCCAGATTCCAAATAAGTGATTTATTATTTTCTTCATTTTTCCCCCCACACCCTTACATTGTTAGGTATGAAGGTTTAAAGGAGTCTAGAGAGTAAATCCTGTTACATACACCATTGATGAGTGAACTAGGTAACAAGGTCATCTCCGAGTTGATTACCTCTCTGTAGGTTTGCTGTGAAGTGCTGAGATGTAAGTGTGTCAAAGCTGGACACCATAACATTTTGTGGCTCTATTGTTTTAGGGAATTTTGCCGTGAATGCTATTTGGTTTGTTTTCTAGATTGAGAAGGCGCTTTGCCTCTGGAGGCTGGACACACGCAGAACATTTTCTCACCATGCTGTGTGAGCACCATGGTTACTAGACAGCCCATAGAGCAAGAGAAGGGACACTCTTCCATGAGGTAAGATGGTGGAGCCTGGGGGTGAAGCACCGCAGTCACACAGGTGTCTGGCTTCCATACACAGCACCTGAAAAGTAAAATAAGTCTGGTAAAGCTTAAGAACCTCAAAACAAAAATAACTGGCTAAATATGTGGCTGAATACTATGTACAACAGCCACTAAAAGAAAAGAATATCTTGGTTTCCCTATTGTTTCTCCATCTTTTTCTTACATAGCAGACCTCCTTTAAGTGCTAAGATAATCACTCCATTTATATACATTCTGTTAAAGATGGCTGTCAGGAGCCTAGATTAAGTTTCCATGCGCTGTCTGGTCCTCAGCATTTTCTCTATGATTCTGGAAGTGAACATGAACCGCAACTGAAAGGGTGTGTGTGTGTGTGTGTGTGTGTGTGTGTGTGTGTGTGTGTGAGTGTGTGAGCAGCACATGCATATGCATCAGTTCTGAGGCTAGAACTCAGGGCCTACTCAAGGCCAGTGCTCTACCACTTGAGCCACAGCTCTACTTCTGGCTTTTTTTGGTGCTTAATTGGAGATAAGGATCTAAGTGGACTTCCCTGCCTGGGATGGCTTTGCTCCTCAGAGCTCAGACTCCTGAGTAGCTAAGTGGGTTAAAACGTCTAAGGTAAGAGAATTTCATTGAAGTAATTCAGAGAGGGGAAACCTCTCAGAAAGAGAACAAATTGTCACTCTGTCTCTTACTTCCCATTTTGAGGACACAACTATTTGTAACATAGCTTGGAATTTTTAAAATTACATTGCTTGGTGTAGGGGTAGTGATGTTTATGGTATATAATAACATTGTTTTCTGTGCATAAAACCCCAGCATTTATGCACACCCCATCATAGTTTCACTTAATTTCAACTTAGTTTGCTTATATATAGTCTACAGTGTAAAACTGCAGGATAAATTGTTATTGGCGGCAAAATTATCCTGAGATGTCTAATGTTCATGTGAGAACAAGATGTCTTTAAAGACTTACCATATAACTTCTTATATCTCAGAGGTTTACACTCTTTCTTTGCTTAAATACTTGTGGCTGGTGTTCTACCACTTGAACCACACCTTTACTTCTGGCTTTTTTGCTGGTTAATTGAAAATAAGAATCTCTCATATTTGCCTGCCCAGGCTAACTTCAAACCTTCATCCTCATATTCCCCATCCTGAGTATAGAGGATTATAAATAGGAATCATCAACCAAACTAGCTAAGATTACAGTCCTGTGCCACCACACCCAGCCTTAGGAGATCTCATATTGGTCTTGAGTATACCTTCCATTGTAAAAGTCCTCTACTATATATGTGTGTGTGTGTGTGTATATACATATATATATGTATATATATATATTTTTTTTTTTTTGATTGGTTGTGGGGCTTGAACTCTGGGCCTGGGCGCTGTCCCTCAGCTCTTCAGCTCAAGGCTAGCGCTCTACCACTTGAGCCACAGTGCCACGTCTGGCTTTTTTTCTTTTTGCCTATGTGGTGCTGAGGAATCGATCCCAGGGCCTCATGTATGCAAGGCAAGCGCTCTACCACTGAGCCAACTTCCCAGCCCTCACAGTGGATTCTTACAGAGGAGGATCAAGGTCCAAGATAGCCCTAGCATTTAAAAAAAAAATCGTATTTTTTAAAAAATACCTAAAGCAAAAAGAGCAGAAGACATGACTCAATAGTGCCTGTCTAGCAAGCTCATGACCTTAGTTTCTGACCCTAGTACACTCTCCCCTTCACCCTTTCCCCCAAAAGTAAATTACACATTAAGTGATCTGATGTGGAATACACTGATAGAAATAGACCAAGAGGAAATAAATATAATCCGTTTTCCTCTTCATTTACCTAAGGCAGCCTACTTCTCTCCTCAACCTTCCACACCTTAAGCTAAAAATAAGATATTGTTGAACTACTTTAGAGAACCAGCCTAAAGGGTTTTTCCCCCCCTTTTTTTAAACTCCTCACTGTAGATAGAGTGCCTTTCGCCTTCGTGTTGTAATAGAGTGATCATTCGGTCGGTCCTCGGTGTTTGCCAGCTCTCACCTGAGATGGGATCCAGGCCTTCCATCTCCTCCAGCGTGGGTCACATAAATCATAGGTACCACCCAGTCTCTAACGGCTGTGCCTCATTCAGGTGCCTGTCACCCCCCCTCCCCCATTTTGGATAAAGGAAAGCTATCATGTTCCTACATTGTTTATTGTGAGTTTTCAAAAGGCTACAGAAGAAATTTTCTCTTCTAGAAGCTCATTTGTAATCATAACAACAATCACTGAAAGTTTAGATCTGAAGAGGCCCACGTTAGCCAGCGGTGTCAAACTGCTGCCACTTTGAGTGACTAGGTAAGTTCTGTGGCCTTCAGTGCAACAATCTCAGCACCCATCTGTTCTAAACTCGCTCTGTTCTGCCTTCCCCCAAAAGGCTGCTTCCTGTGACTTCATGACACCTTTGTGAAAATTAGACTTTGCTAGGATGTTACACCACCATTGTCGAAGGAACCCTGAACTCCAGGAAGAACTGCAGATCCAGGCTGCTGTGGCCGCTGGGGATGTCCACACAGTACGGAAGATGCTAGAACAAGGCTATTCTCCAAACGGCCGGGATGCCAATGGCTGGACCCTACTCCACTTCTCTGCAGCAAGAGGAAAGGAAAGATGTGTTCGGGTATTTCTAGAACACGGAGGTGAGTTGACTGCAAGTAATGCCTTTTATTCCCATGGAGAAACTTGGTATCATATTTAAGCTGGGTGCTGGTGGCTCATGGCTGAAATCCTAGCTTCTCTCAGGAGGCTGAGATCTAAGGATTACAGTTTGATTCCAGCGTGGACAGAAAAGTCAGACTCTTAACTCGCCCAGTTAACCAGCATAATGCCAGACCAGAGGCATGGCTCAAGTGACAGCACTTCAGCCATGAGTGAAAAAGCTAAGCAAGAATGTAAGATCTTGAGTGCAAGATTGATTAATGACACACTTATACAAATTATGTTTAGTTCAAAATTCTTTGTGCATGTTAATTTTTAATACTTCTGCTAATAGCCCACCTATTCGCCTCCCTTTGTGAATATTCTGTGGCCAAAATTTTCATTTTTGTTTAAAATCAGATTTTTAAAAGGTCATTTAGGTGAATGGTCTTTGTCATCTGTGTATGAATAATCAGCTAAGTAAGTTCTACTAAGCCACCCTCACCAGGGCTTGGGTAGTTACTTTCCTTTCAGAAGCAGAAGTGGTTCTGGTCCCTTAAAACCAGAGCATTACACAAGGCTCCTCTCTGCTCTAGCAGGGGGACCTAGTTCAGGTCCCTTTATTGTTTGAATTTCCTTTTTTTTTTCTTTTCCCCTTTCAGTTTGGATGGTTTCTCTTTATTATTAGTTTGAGAACTTCTTCCTTTCCAAAACTGTTTATAGTTTCTAGATCCCACAAGAAAATTGATTATCTGGAGTCTATTTTTTGTTTTTTAATAGTATTAGGACTTAACTCAGCCTCATGCTTGCTAGACAGATGCTATCCTACTGAGCAATGCTTCCAGCCCATTTGGGGCTATTTTTGAGATAGGATCTCACTTCCTGCCTGCACTACAACTTGTCTCTTTGTAGATGACCCACCATAACATAGATGACAGATGCCTGCCACCACACCCAGCAGTGGGTTAAGGAGGTGTCAATCTCTCTTGGAATGTTCTTTTATAGGCTAGCCTCAAAGCATAATCCTCCTATCGCCAGCCTCCCTTCATAGCTAGGATTAAGGCATGAGCCATATCACTCATCAATTCTTTGAGTAATGAAGTTAGAAAGTACATTTGGCATTTTATCGTTTTTTTATCTATGTAGATGATACATACATTTTTTTAAGACTAGGCTGGACTTTGAGCCTCATATTTATGCCTCCCGTGGAGCTGGTGTGACGGGGACTAGCCCTCACGCCCAGGGTCATTGGTTGAGAATGCTTCTCTTTCTTTGCCTTGAACTGCCATCTTTTTCACCTATCCCTCCAGAGAAGCTGGGATTACAGGACCAGCCCACTGTGGCTGACCCTCAAACTGCCTAAGTTTACGCTTTTGAAGCTTAACCAGTCATCCCTAACTAATACTTCTCCCTCCAGTTGACTTTCAGCTTCTTTATTTCCTTCAAGAGGGAGTATATGTATTTTTATCACTCAGAATTACCTTGTCTATTAACGATGGTGTAAGAGTTCCTGGCTGGGGCTCCAGTTCCTCTTGTACCACTGTCAAGCCTGAGTTGCTCCCCAGCCGTGATGTTCCTTCCTTCCCGGGTGTGCTTCCCACAAGACTAGCCAGAATGGCATGTGCTCTGAAGGGCAGAAAAATAGGAGGAGTCCCACGGCTGTCCTGAGGATCATATGAATTATGTGAAGGTCGGAAGACAAAGGTATGAGTGTGGACTAATTGCACGAGGAGGCTGGCCCTGAGACCTGCAGTGGTCAGTGTCCTGAAGCCCCAAAGCAGGAACTACATGCCTGGATTAGTCAGTTGCCCATGAAGCCAGACATTGCTGGCCTGTGCCTTCTTTGTAGTTGCCTTCCATGCCGTGCCCCTTAACACAAGTTCAAGCCTCCATTCTAAAGTTAATGAAGAGGAAATGTTAGTGGAATGCCAGCAAGAAAAAAAAATCCTAAGGAAATAATGAAAGGTGGATGTGTCCGAGCCCTTGAAATTCTGACAGTGCTTAGGAAGTTTAAGACCAGGATCAGAGATCACTTTGTGCAGGTACTGGGATTTAAACTCGGGCCACACCCAGTTTCTTACCTTTTTTGCTCACACTTGTTTTTGTTCGTACTCGACCACTTGAGCCACGCCTCCATGTCTTGCTTTTTGCTGGTTAAATTGGAGCCAACGTGTCTCAGACTTTCTTACCAGAGCTGGCTTCAAACCATGATCCTCAGATCTCAGCCTCCTGAGTAGCTAGGACGACAGGTGTGGTCCATGAGGACCAGCTGAGCTCACACTTATTTTTTTTTGGGGGGGGGGGTGTCCAGTTGTGGGGCCTGAACTCTGGGCCCGGGCACTGTCCCTCAGCTCTTCAGCTCAAGGTGAATGCTCTACCACTTGAGCCACAGAGCCACTTCCAGCCTTTTTTTTTCTGCTTATGTGGTGCTGAGGAATCGGACCCAGGGCCTCATGCATGCAAAGCAAGTGCTCTACCACTGAGCCACCTTCTCAGCCCCTGAGCTCACACTTTTTACACTAGCTAGTCCTGTTGTATTCTGCTTCTACCTGTATGTGTATTTATCACTCATCAAGAAAGCAAAAATTTTTTTAAAAAAACCCTCAAATAGAAGAGTCAGCTAATAATGACATATTCAAATAAATCACAAATAAAGCCTAAACCTCATCTACCCCCCTTAGTCCTTGTTGCCTCCCAATGTCCAGAAGTAACCATGAGCAGAGTTAGGTTTGGTGCTTATACTTGCAAGTCATTTCCTAATATATTTGGGAAAGTCAGGCTGCAATTGTTGAACATTACAATGCATTTTCTTTTATTCCACGGCAGTCTTTTTTTTTTTTTTTTAACGGTTTGACTTACATAAGGGGGTCTGTTACTGTGATGTGAAAGTAGCCACAGAAAATAAACCATGGATGTGATTATGTTTTGTACAACTTGGATTAAAAACCAATAGTGGGGGGTTAAAGAAAAAAGCCAGTGGAAGCCACAGTTGACTTACAGGTCATAGTAAACTCTGTTCTCTTTTTCTCTCCCTCTTCTCTTCCCCTCCCTCTGTATCATTCTTCCTCTCCCTATCTTTCCTCCCTTCCCTTCCTATCTTTCCTCCTCTCCCTCCCTCTGCTCCTTCTCTTCATTCTTCACTCCCTCGACCCCATTCATTTATTTCTTTAAATCCTGTTGATTAATTCATGCATACATTCTGTGTGCACGCATGCGCGTTTGTGTGTATGTGTATAAACAGCTTTATTGATAATCATGGGTCTGGGATGAAGCAGAGTGGAAGAACAGAGGCCTGACATGTCCCTAGCCCTAGTTGGGAGCCCTGGTTACCCTCTTCCCACATACACACACAGAGTAGAATTCATGTACTGTATAGCCAACTCATTTAAAGTGTACAGTTAAATGACTTTTACTCTGTTCATAGAGCTGGCTATTTATCACCACAATGAATTTTAAAAATCGTCATTCCTACAGGAAGAAACCTCATTTGTCTTATTAATACATGCACGTTTTCTTGGTTCTTTTAATGCGGTATTAATGGGCTATACCATCCTATGTTTTGCTATTTCCTTGTTTTAGTGTTTGAGAGAGAATGAAATTTTCTCCGGTGATTTGATCTCCTGAGAAGGTCCTTGCATGTAAGCATGTATGACCTCCAGATTTGAGGTAGCATATGTACTGTCGGTGAGGGAGGCCCCTTAGCACCTGCTTTTGTACCCTGCCGATGGCTGCAGCTGGCACACTTGTTGTCACTTGCACAAGTATTCCTTGCAGGTGGGCATAGGTAGTTTTCCATACCTGCTTCCTTTTTAGTATCATTCGTGCATCTTGACTTCTGTCCCCTAATAGCTTAGTTCCCTGTCCCTAGACAACTAGTTGGATTCCATTGTATGGCTGTCACCCTTGGTCCTATTGTTGGGCATTTTAAATTGTTGTTTACAGGCAGTCATAGAGGAAATGTCCTCCACAGATGGTTTTACCTAGGGGAGCATTTCTTTCTGGAATTACACACCTAGAAGGTGAATAATACCTTGCCAGGTGAAGAAAAAAATGTTTTTCTCTGTACTGATAAATTGTCCTCTGAGGAAGTTGTCATTGCTTCTGTGCTGTGAGCAGGTGGGGCGGGTGCAGTGCCCCCTCCCCCCTTCCACCTCTGCTGGTCGCAGACCTCCAGGTGGCCTGCCCCCTCCCCCATGGCACAGACTGGCCTCTGTTATCAACACTGCACAACAGGGCTTGTCTTTCTTCCCTGCTTTAGGTGCTGATGTCTGTCCCCTGTTGGCTTCTAGCCCTGTGGTCACCCAGTTCCTAGTTGCTTCACTTACTGATGCTCTTATTGGTCAGAAGGCTCCTTTTGGGCAGGGGCAGTCCTGGGGCTTGAACTCAGGGTCTGGGTACTGTCTGTAAGCTTCTTTTCCTCGAGGTTAACACTCTACCACAGCTGCTTCTGGCTTTTTCTGAGTAGTTTATTGGAGATAAGAGTCTCACATGCTGGGAGCCGGTGGCTCACACCTGTAATCCTAACTACTTAGGAGACTGAGATCTGAGGATCGCAGTTCAAAGGCAGCCCGGGCAGGAAAGTCCATGAAACTCTTATCTCCAATAAAAACCGCTAGAAAACCAGAAGTGGTGCTGTGGCTCAAGCGGTAGAGTGCTCACCTTGAGCTAAAGAGCACAGGTACAGTGCCCAAGCCCTGAGTTCAAGACCCAAGACTGACCAAAAAAAAAGAAGAGTCTCACAGACTTTCCTGCCCAGGCTGGTTTTCGAACCACAATCCTCAGATCTCAGCCTCCTGAACGTTCCCTTTTAATGCAGGCTGTGTGTGTGCTATTTAAGAGCTGCATCCCTACAGCGTTAGCACTTGCCTCTTGTTTTCTTCTAAAGTGTTCTGCAACCCTTCAGTTTTGTAGGTCTGTGCTGAAGAGCTTTTTGGTATAAAACAGGAAATGTACAGGTAGGACTTCCCCTCCCTTCCCCCACATAAAATAGCCCAGCTCTCCC